TCCTTGGTAATAAAAGACAAAAAAGAAAAATTTTAAAATGTAATTATATTCATTATAAGTAGTTAACATATTTAAAGAGTAGACGTATTGGGCTTTATCCACAAAACTAATTACCTTTTGGCCAGGCGCTATGAATTTGTGACAGAGTTCAACATCTTCAGGACAATTTGAGAGAACCATCACTGTTGTAGCCTTAAAGAGTTCCTCCATAACCTAAGAGAAATGACACAGAATCACCTAACAAGTAAGCAACTTTATGAGAAAAACTTGTTCAGGCATCTCAATTTCTTCTGGGGGGGGTGGGATGTTTGAATCTTATGTTAATAGTTCCAATACTATCATTAGAAATGATATGTCAAATGAACAGCTATAACTGATCAATATCTCTCTAAATTTCAAAAAACTCACTTGTTTATTGAAATTAGGACAATAATAGTACCTAACTTACAGAATTATTGACAGAATTAAATAAGATAATCCATGTATCAGACTTAGCTTAGTGCCTGGCTCAAAGAAGCATACAATAAACATTAATTGTTGGGAAGAGTAAGAGCATTTTGAAAAGATGTTTATTCAGTCATTGGTAAATGAAAATAAACTTTAAAATTAGAGAAACAATGAGATATAGCTAAATACAAATATATACATTTTTGCTTTGCTAAAGCATAAAGATAACATGAGTAAATATACAACACAAATGGGTAGATAAGAATTCATTCTACCAGGGATATCCAAAGAGGTCTCATGAGAGAAACTTGTTCTTAGAAGAAAAAAGTGACTGGGATGGAAAATATTTCTAAAATCCTTTTAATCACAACTAAAATTTTTGGTTTTAAATCAGTGAGACCATATTAGGCACTCCAAATGCTGCTCTCACAAAGATACAAGCATTTATAAAATACAGGCTGCCCAAAGGCAGACATTTTCTTTTCCTCTGTTGCATCACTGGTATACCCTTTTCAGGCTGGAAACACGGTGGGGACATAACCGTTTACTGAAGTAATTTAATATGATCAGATGTGGGAAAATACTTAAAGATCAGTGACAACTAGGTTTATTTCATGATGCCTCAGTCTTCATTAGCGGCATTTATTATAGATGTCTTGCTAAGTTACACAGCGTTCCTGGTTCACTGTCTTACTTTCAATTACTATGGTCATTTATCCTTCCAACCAACATGTATATATCTAACATAGCAAAAGAAATTGGTGAGCATGTGGGTATCTAAGGCACTGACAGTATAAAATAGTAATGACAACTAATTTGTGGGGTGGCAAAACAAGTTAGAATCAAAAGACTAGACAACAGTAAAAATAAAATGGAAGGGAATAAGCAGAATTAAAGCAGAACTTTCTAAGGACCTTCTATCCTAAGGAGGGCAGAGATGTTTAACTTTAGACTTCATATAAAAAATGTAAGGTAAACCATTATAATAATAGAAACAGAATGTATAAATTCTAACCCAGTGGAGGAAAAGAAAGGAAAATTAAAAAGACCAGATTAATTCAATGGAGAGGTGAATAGAAGCAAGGAATAACTTGATGAAAAAAGAACAAAATAGGAGGCTAAAGATCTTTTACCTTGAGCCTATATCACCCTCAGTTTAGCAGTGAGATAAAGAAATTCCTGAGTGATTTATGAAGGTCATATCCTTCGATCACTAAACAAAGCCGACACATACCGGGAGGAAAAAAAAGCAAGTAGCTTGGAGAGTAAGCCTGCACTTTTCAGGGACACAATGCACCTATCTGTAAAATGAAGACTTTGACCACAGGGGTTGTTAAATTGGTATCTTTCATGAGCAGTAAGTTTCTGCTAGAAGAAGAAAATCACTGGCTTCCCTAACCTTGACTTTTAAACAGCTCCATAAATATATTTGAAAAAAACAGACCCTTAACTGAAGAGTTAGCATAACTCAGATGTTTTAAAAATGTATTACTCAATGGCGCTGAAACAGTAATACTTATTAATTGCTTATAGGTCATGAGGGGAAAATATTCTCTTACAATGTTCTGATTTAATATTTAAGAGACTGCTCTTTATCAAGATGATAATTTCCAGAGAAAAGTAATTTATGAAAGGGAGAAAATTAAGAGAAGCAGGACATTACTTTTGGGGGAGAGCACATTTTTTTTCTTCTGTCTTTAGGAAATAAGTTTGTATCCCAATTAACTGAATCATTCGACAGTATAAGCCTTGAGTACCACCAGTGGAATACCAAATAAATAAGAACTCAAGTAGCAAATCGTAACACCAAAACCTGAATTATTATCTGATTTAATTTCCTATTACTAAGTTCATGAAGGTCAGCATTAAGACTTACAAAATTAGTCACAGACCTTCTTGTGTAATTATGTAATAAATTGTCCAAGCTGGAACACTTTTTGAGAATGAAAATTAGAAATATTAATAATTAAGCCATTTTATTTCTCTAGCTGGCCAAGATGGAATAAACTGACTGCAATCTATCTCTCTAACCAATTATAACTAAAAAATCTGGTCAGAATGCAAAGAGCAAATATCTAAGAACTCAGAAAGGCAAACAGGCAGACAGGAAACTAGTCAATTTGATTTATAACCTGTAATGGGGATAAATTTCAGTTCCATTTTTCCCTCCTTTGTCTCCTGGCTTTGGTTTGGGGGTAAAATGGTGAGCACAGGAAGCAAAACTTCTGGGAGAAAGCTCCTATTTCCAGTATAGAACTAGGTTTAAAAAGTCCCTATGCACTCATGCTGTGGTCTCCAACCTTTTTGGTACCAGGGACTGGTTTCATGGAAGACAAGTTTTCCATGGATTGAGGGGGGAAGGAGGAGTGGGGTGGGGGAGTGGGGGACATGGAGCTCAGGTGGTGATGTGCAGCCCGGTTCTTAATAGGCCAGGGACCACAGCACTAGACTGTTTATGGGGAAATCCCTAGGTTGTTTTTTCCCTTTTCTCTTCTGTTCTTATCCTGAAGGCAGCCCGAGTTATGAATTTGTACTGTCAGGGTGACAGTGGCACAAGTGCCTAAAACTCCAAGAGAAGACCCACTTCTCCAATCTGAGAAACTGGGAAAGGGGGACTTCCCCGGTTTGAAGAGCATATATGTAGGGAATCCCCATTATTTGTAAAAATCTTCTCTCATGCCACTTTGTCCTCAGGTGTCCACAGTCACCTGGAAATGAGTAACATGGTGGTCACTAAAATCCTGGGAGAAACCTGTTTTTCTGGCCAGAGAAACCAGAAAAAAAAAGGCTTCAGGCAGTCACATAGTGTGAAGAAAATTCTGAAGAGCAGGAGAAGGCGACCCTCTAATTCTGCATGTGAACTAGCGTAAGGCCAGGGCTTACCCACAAGCAATGAACATGTGCAACAGACCCAAAGAAGCCAAGTGAAGGCTTCTGACAATGAACTACCCAATATAAACCACTGTGCAATTTCCAGGCTAACTGCAAGTGGCACATGCATCAGAAAGACTGAAATAGCACAGCAGAGGCTTTGAAAACTGAGTGAGAGGAATCTCTACCAGATAATAAGGCCTAGTATATAGCTAGAGTAATCGAGAACATGTGGTATTGGCAGAAGGATCCAAAGTTCAATGGAACAGAATAGAGAACCCAGAAATAGACCCATACATTTATGACCAACTGATTTTTGACAAAGATGCAAAAACAGTTTAATGTATGAAGAACAGCTTTTTCAACAAATGGTGCCGGAGCAAGAAAACATCCATAGGCAAAAAGAAAAAAAAAAAAAGGAAGAAAGAAAGAAAAGAAAAGAAAAAAGAAATAAAAAGAGCCTCTAAGTCTCACATCTTACACAAAAATTAACTCAACATAGACCATGGACTTACATTTAAATATAAAGCTAAAGCTGTAAAGCATTTATAAACCATTCAGGATCTAGGGCTATTGCTAAACAAAGAGTTCTCAGACTTGACACCAAAAGCTTAATCCATAAAACAAAAAAAATGATAAACTGGACCTCATCAAATATAACAGGATGAAAAAACAAGCTACTTACTAAGAGAATATATTTGGAAACCACACATTCAACAAAGACTATCCAGAATACATAAAGAACTCTTAGAACGGGACAGTGAAAAAACAAACAATCCATATAGAAAATTGGCAAAAAACATGAACAGACATTTCACTGAAGATGACATACAGATGGCAAATAAGCACCTGAAAGGATGTTCAACATCATTAGCAAGTAGGGAAATGCAAATTAAAAACATAATGAGGTATTACTAGACATCTATCAGAATGACTAAAATAAAGAATAGTGACTATAAATAATGCTGGAGAAGATGTGGAAAAACTGGATCATTCATACACTGCTGGCAGAACAGTCTGCTGAAAAGAGTTTGGTGGTTTCTTATAAAACTAACACATGGCTATCATATGACCTAGTACTCTTGGGCATTTATTCCAGGGAAATGATGACATACCTACTTAAAAACCTGTACATGAATGTTCATAGCTGTTTTATTCATAACAGCCCTAAACTGAAAACAATGGGTGAATGGTTAAACAAACTGTGGGAAATACATACCACAGATTACCACTCAGCAATGAAAAGGAATGAATTACTGATGCACAGAACTACTCAGATGAATATCAAGGGCATTATACTGAGTGAAAAAAGCAGGCCCTGAGTGACTGCATACTGCATAATTCCATTTATGTAACATTCTTGAAATGATCAAATTTTAGAAATGGAAAACAGAATAGTGGTTGCCAGGGGCTAGAGATGAGGGTGGGTGAAGGAGAAGTAGGGTATACATAAAAGGGCAACATGAGGGATCCTTGTGGTGATGGAAATGCTCTATATCTTGACTGTGTCAATGTCAATATCCTGGTTGTGATATTGTATTATTATTCTGCAAGATTTTACCATTGGAACAAACTGAGTAGAGGACACAGGATATCTCTATATTATTCTTTACAACTGCATGTGAACCTCAATTGTCTCAACATAAAAAGTTTAACTAAAAAAAAAGATAAAAGGACAATTCAATGGAGAAAGGGTAATCATTTCAACACATTTTTAAGACAACTGGACATGTGCAAAAAATGAACCTTAATCTATACCTCAGCACCTTATACAAAAGTTAACTTAAAATGGATCATAAACCTAAAATTAAAACTTAAAAAAAAAAACTTAAAACAATGAAACTTTCAGACGAAAACAAGAATATCATTGTAATCTTGGGTTTGGCAAAGAATTATTAAATAGGACACTAAAAGCAAGATCCATAAAAGAAAAAATTGGTAAATTAATGATAATCAAAATTAAAAACTTTTTCTGTGTAAATGATACTGCTGAGAGTGAAAAGACAAGCCACAGACTGGAGAAAAAAATTTGCAAATTACATATCTAAAAAAGGACTTTCATTTAGAATAAAGAATTTTCAAAACTAAACAAGAAAACAATACAACGAAAAAATCCAATTTGAACAAACACTTCACCAAAGACTATAGACTGATGGCCAATAAACACATGAAAAGATGTTCAACATCAATAGGCATTAGGGAAATGCAAATTAAAACCACAATGAGAGATTGATACCCAGCTATTACAGTGACTTGAAACACACAAACACGGCCAGGGGCATGTAATCCTAGCACTTTGGGAGGCCAAGGTGGGAGGATTGCTTGAGGCCAGGAGTTTGAGACCAGCCTGGGTAAAATACCAAGACTCGTCTCTACAGAAAATTTGAAAAATAGCCAGTTGTGGTGGCACCTGCTGTCCCAGCTACTCAGGAGGCTGAGGCAGGAGGATCACTTGAACCCAGGAGTTTGAGGTTATAGTGAGCTGTGATGATGCCACTGTACTCTAGCCCAGACAACAGAGCAAGACTCTGTCTCAAACATACACACGTGACAATACTAAGTACTGGTGAGGAAGTGGAAATGTGAAACTCATATATTGCTGATGGGAATGCAAAACAGTACAATCAGTTTATAAAGAGATTGCTTTCCTGTAAAATTAAACACCCAACACCGACCTAGTAATCTCATTCCTAGGAATTCACCCAAGAAAAATGAAAACTTTATGTCCATATAAAACCTAAATATGAATATTTTTAGCAACTTTGTTCATTATTTTCAATAACTGGAAATAAACCAAATGTCCTTCAACTGGTGAATGGATAAATGAACTGTGGTGCATCTGTATCACGGAATACTATCCAGCAGTAAAAAGGAGCAAACGATTGATACATAGAACATGAACGAAGCTCAAATACATTACACTAAGTGACAGAAGCCAAAGTCAAAAGTCTACACACTATATCATTTCATTTATATAACATTCTGGAAAGGGCAAGATTACCTATAAAGAACAGATCAGTGATTGCCAGCGGAAGGAGATTTTTAGAAGACAAAGTAGCAGCGAGAGGGAGTTGTTTTGCAATTATCAAATTGTTCTGTAGCTTGATTGTAGTCATGGTTATGGAGGTCTATACATTTTTCAAAACTTAGAATTTTTCTGTATGTAAATTTAAAAATAAATTAAAAAGAATATTAAGCCAAGATAACAAGTGTAAATAAGAATTGTTCCAGGTAACTATTATGTAACTCTCAGGGTGTAATGTCACTGAAGCTAACTCCTGACTCAAGTCCATCCCATCTAAAGCCAACAGACAAGTAAGTGTTCATCTCTCTGGGGTGGTCTAACCCTTTTCAGTTAGTCCCAGACTTATTTTGGAAGATATCTGAAACAACACCAGCAATGGTAGTATAGGGTAATGCTCTGAATAAAATAACTCTGTATTCTTCTGGTTCACATTATTCCTGGACATTAATCACCAATGCTTAAGAAACTAGCCTAAAAAGCCATCAGTTAGGGTATCCAGAAATAAAAACAAAGAGAATGGAATGGAATAAGAGGAAAAAATGGAATAAAGAAACAACTCATTTCAAACATTAAGATTAGACTTGAAATGCTCCACTTACAATGTTTACAACAGAATAAAAGAATTTCATGGATGTGTTGACTGAGTGCAAAGGTGAAAATTTGGAAATGAATTCTGCTTGCACTTGCTAAGAAAGTATGTAGCTTAACCTACCTATTTCTTAATGTTTTCACTAATATAATTGAGAAAATAAAAATGATTTTGCAACCCTGGCATAGGGTAAAATATAATTATAGAGCAAAGATTTCAAATGTTTAACAGATTCTAAAATAATTTATGCACGTCTTTCTAGCCTTTCCCTTTGGTATCTATGTTGGGGCAGTAGAAACAGGGTTAGGACAGAAACAGGCAAAAAGCGTGGTTCCATTCTTTAATAGTATTCTTACTGCCTAAGTGAAAGAATAATACAGAATTGGATGATGGGCTCAACTGAAAGCTGCTTAAGGATTGTACACTGAGTCCTTGTGAGGATCAGATCTTGAATCCCTACAATCCAGAACAGAGTTATTCAACAGTAGCACTACTTACATTTTGGGCCAGATAATTGTTTTCTGGGGGGGGGGGGGGCTGTGCACTGCAGGTTGTTGAGCAGCATCCCTGCCTTTACCCACTACACGCCAGTAGCAACCCCTCTCCCTGACCCCTTTCCCACTCCCTAGTATGGACAACCAAAAATGTCCCATAGGGATACTGATCTAGAACGACCAGTGGCAGGAGTTAAGGGGACGTGCAAGTGGATGCTATAGTGCATGGCCAAAACACTCCTTCAGAGCCAAGTGTCCCATACAGGATTCTGGGAATGCTACCAACTATGGTTTATAGTGAGTCTCTCTTCACGAGTTGTCCAGGCCCAAGGGTGCTGCATTACTCAAGGTTATGCCCCTTCCAGAAGCTCACCATGCCCAAAGACTGGCTGACAGGGGGAGGCACAAAGGCCTACCTCCTTGCCTTCAAATGGGACAACTGTAAAGGACCATTCCAGTTTCAAAGTTCCTCAAAGAATAGGCTACGGCCTCTGTTTGTAAATGCACCATAGAGTTCAACTTTTCCCTCTTCCAAATGCTACTTTCTTCCTTTCCTTACAGGCATTGTTCTCAAGAGTGTTCCCCAATAATGCCCCTGCCCACAAATCTCTGCCTAAGAATTGGTTTACTAGAAAATCCAACCTAACATGGGGTAATAATGAGTCTATTCCATTTATAGACCAAATATATATAAATATATATATTTATATATTAAGTGGAGATGGGGCATTGCCTGGGCAAGAGTAGAAAGCTATATAAATGAATAGAAAGGAGAGTTGATGAAAATTACTAAACATCCTATAATTACAAATCCAAACTAAGATAGTAATCAAAATGCTACTGAATAGAGAATTCATAATAACAGTTAACAATTTCTAGGTATTTACTAAGTGCAATGAATTACGCTAAGTGCTCTCTATATATTTTCTGCCTGATCCTCTCAACTATCCTATGAACTAGGAATTATTATTCCCACTTTATACATGAGGAAATTGAGGCCCAGAGAAATAGAATCACACAGCAAGTAAGTGGTAGAGCAAAGAATCAAATCCTGGTCTATCCAAATCCAGGGCCTGTGTGCTCTATCTGGATCATGTCTACAGCCTCCTAACAAGGCCTTCCAATATATTTTTATCTACCTCTAAATCATTCTTCATATTGTTGCTAAAAAGATGTTTCTAAAACATAGATCTAACCATGCCTTCTAAAACTGAGAACTTCTTCTCCTTCATCTTGTGAATAAAGTTCAAACTCCTTGACATGGTGTTTAAATACGAGGTCTTAGGCCGGGCACGGTGGCTCACGCCTGTAATCCTAGCACTCTGGGAGGCTGAGGCGGGTGGATCCCTCAAGGTCAGGAGTTCGAGACTAGCCTGAGCAAGAGCGAGACCCCGTCTCTACTAAAAAACAGAAAGAAATGATCTGGACAACTAAAAAAAAAAAAAAATATATATATATATATATATATATATATATATATATATATATAAAATTAGCCGGGCATGGTGGCACATGCCTGTAGTCCCAGCTACTGGGGAGGCTGAGGCAGAAGAATCGCTTGAGCCCAGGAGTCTGAGGTTGCTGTGAGCTAGGCTGACGCCACGGCACTCTAGCCCGGGCAACAGAGCAAGACTGTCTCAAAAAAAAAAAAAAAACAACAAAAAAAAACAAGGTCTTTCTTGATGTGACTCCTGACCATCTCTCTGGCCTTATCCCCTGCTTTTCCAACTGAGCTTGGACAGCTCATGTGGAAGCTTTCTAATATAGCTATTTAAATGTTTATTTAACTATTACAGATGTTTTATTTATTTTCCTAGCAAATAAGAGCTACTATTTACTGGGCCTGCTTATGTTCCAGACCCCGTAATAGGGGTTTTATATTATATACATTATTTTATTTGCTCCTCAAAATAACCCTATGAAATAAGTACAATTATTCTTATTTTATAGTCAAGGAATCAAAAGATCATGAAAGTTAGGTAACTTCATAGCAAAGCTAATTGCAGAGCCAGGATATAAACTTAAATGTCTAACTCCTATACTTTAAACTATTACACTAAAGGTATTCAGTAGGTGTTTATTAAATTAAGTAGTTCTCCATCTGTTTCATTTTATGAATACCTGAAATGCAGAGATGTCTGAGGTAAAAATACGTACAGAAGCATTTTAATGCCACAGATACCTGATATTTACATTCCTGATATTTTAAAACCTGTATACCTACCTGCATGAGATCTTGAAGGCTCTTAACAAAAGAAATCTCTGCTTCTACCATATAAAACTCTGCCAGGTGTCTTCGGGTCTGAGAATTTTCAGCTCGGAACGTTGGACCAAAGGTAAACACTTGAGTAAAAGCTCTGCAATTCAAGATTAAGAGCATAAAAATAGGATTCACATGATTAATTTTAAGTATTTAAAATACTCAGAGAGCTCTCAAGGGAAAAAAATTTTTGTGCCTCTGTCTTGTCCACAAACCCACACATATTTCCTGGTATATTTTTCTAATGGGTGATAATAATAGTTTCATTAAAAATGTTACATTTATAGAAACAATTTTATCCTGAAGGAATCTGCAACTGCTTCACGAACCCTATGGTTTACTAAATATAGAAATATAACCACTTCTGGGTGTACTCTACTGCAGCTGCCTTAAAGAACAGGCAACTACATTTCACAGCAGTCAAGAACAAAGTAAAGAAAAAATACCACAGCCCAAAACACCAAACAGAAAATCTAGATAGTAACAGTGAAAACTGGAATTTCATGTAGATAAGATGTACTCATTTTTTAAATACATGAAAAAAGAATGTCAGATATGTACAGCTTGTTCAAAGCCTACCCAAGTCCTTCATAACCACGCAAGTCTTTCAATCAACGATGAATGATCCCTGAAATCCAGGGGTTAGGCAGACTTTGAGGAACTACCTACTTTATTCTCTGGATTTCAAGAAGGACTATAAGATCAACCATCCAAATGGGGAAAAAAATCCACCTCATTTTTAAATTCCTACAAAGAAGCGGACACTATACTTACATTCTTTACACTGATAGTCTCCCTCATATTGAAACTGGGCAACAATTACAATTAGATCAAGCATAAGTGAAGTAATAAATATTTATTGAGGACTTAATCTTTCAATTTTAAGGTTCGGCTAGAAAAAAAGTAAGTGGTTTGGGGCTCCTTTGCTATGATCCTGAGAACTCTTCATTTGTACATCAGCCAAATAACATTAAGATCAGAAAACTCAGGGCAGAAAATTGATGGATTTTGTATATATACCAGTTTTTTTTTTTTTTTAAGTAAAGATACTCTGGGAAATGAAACAGTAAAATAATAAATAGTGGAAACCAAGAGATTTATTTTTTCTTTCAAATGGCCATTTCAGTTAAGAAGAGAACCTTAGGAATTTATGTTTTGGTTCTACAGCCACCTTCCTAAGACCGTGATTAGTTAACCTCTGAAAAGCTTAGTTTTTAATGGAAAAATAAATAGTAGGAACTCAAAAATATTACTATGGTCCCCTCTCTTCCAAGATTTAGATCCAGACTTGCCTGCTAGAATGTTCCTGAAAAGCCTGAATCTACCTTGTACAAAATGAAAACTCCCCCAAACAAACAAAAGACAAAATAATGCACAACCCTGCTTTTCTTTTTACATTTCCTCCAGCTGTTAATCTCAGTTAATCCACCAAGTTGCCCCAGCCAGACCCTACACCCCTCCTACTGCCTACATGTCCCATATCATATGGATCACAAAATTCAATTGTTTACACCTTAGAAAATTCTGAAATTTAGCCACTCTTCTCTACCTCTACAGCTACTGTCACTGTAAACCCTTACCTATTGCTTGGAAAACAACAGATTTTTAACTGGTACCTGCCACCTGTCTTTCTCTGGCTCTAAACTTCTATGAGTTTTCAAATTTAAATCTGATTATGCCAGCCCTAATTTAAAAAACTTCACTGATTCACCAATGACAATGAATAAAATTCTAACTCCTAATTTAGACTCAACTTTCACTCACACGGCCTTTTCTCCAGCCACTCTGAAGACATTCTCCTTACCTACCATGTCCCTGCAAGCCTTCAGGTCTTTGCATAGGCTGTTCCCTTCCCTGTAATCCCTCATCCCCTGCTCCACTCTCTCCAAAAGGCAAATTCCCATCCATCCTTCAAGACTGCTGCTCAAATGTTACTTCTTCTTTGAAACCTTACCACACATCCCCAAATTTAATGTCCCTTCCTATATATTACTATAACATTTTGTTCATATATTTATCGTATAGAACATATCACTTTGAAAGGTAATTAGGTATTTAAATATCTTTCTCCCCCAATAAACGATGACATTTTTCTAGAACAGGAATCATGTTTTATTCATATTTGCATCTCCAGTGCCTAAGATAAACAGGTGCTCATGCTGTATGAATGAGTACTAATGATGATGACAGGCTTCCTCAGTTGTAAACTGAAAAAGCACAACATCCTCACAAACGGTCACATTACAAATATAGAAAAATACTCAGATATATTTTACTGAGGCTGTTAGTACCTAAAATGGGTCAAACAATACAGATCTGGCCCAAACAATAAATTCAAAAATTACAAGGCCCTGAGTTTCCAATCCGTGACCACGTCATCTCTAGGTAGATAAGAAATAGCATAAATAAAGTGACATTTCTCTCTGGTACTGACTGCATTACAAGAAATTGTATATATGGATATTAACTAATATTAAAGGACATTTTATTGAAATTTTCCAGGGCATAAATACATACGTGGCATAGTTGAGATTCATTTTGGGGGCCCCAAAATACAAGGAAGGCTAATGCCATTGCTGTTTGAAAGAGACATGCTATTTGTATTAAGACACTAGGTGCATAGAAAATAGTGATTTCTAACAAGAACTCCAAATTCAAATCATAAGGGTATCTGCTTCTCACAGGGCAATTCTATGTAGGATGCTCCAAGATGAGCAGAAATAGGGATTTTTTATTTAACAATGGTTAATGATTTTCCCTAGCAATGCAGGGCAAACTCTCTAGTGTAAGATGCATAAAAGGATCAGTAATTTTTATTTTTATTACTTCTTTAAGAGACAGAGTCTTGCTCTCTTGCCCAGGCTGGAGTGCAGTGGCTCGATCATAACTTACTGCAACCTCAAATTCCTGGGCTCCAGCAATCCTCCGGCCTCAGCCTCCCAAGTAGCAGGGACTACAGGTGCATACCTTATCATGCTTGGCTAATTTTTTAACTTTTTGTAGAGACAGGTTCTCGCTATGTTGCCCAGGCTGGTTTCAAACTCCTGGCCTCCAGTGATCTTCCTGCCTCAACCTCCCAAAGTGCTGGGATTACAGGTGGGAGGCATTGCACCCAGTCTAAGGATTTTTACTTTAATCATAGTATGAGGCTCTGATTGAGGTATCGAAGAGTTAAGTATCATTCTAAAAGAGTAAGAACGAACTGATGACCACAGTGTGTCCTCTGAAATAATGGAAATATTAAATGAGCCGGAAGGTATATTGAAAAATTGCCGACTACAACATCCAGTCTTTAAGCAGTTGAATGCTTAAATCTTTCAACAGTGATCACTCTGACAGCGTCCAGGGTTCTATTTTAAGTGATCGTAGCAGTAGTAGTAACAATAGTGGCTACCATTAGAGAGTGATTCTCGTGAGCCAGGCATTAAATGTAAGAACCTTAGAGTTAACCCCTTTATAGTTAACACAATAAAATATGTATTTTTACATTTATTTTCCAGAATAAGAAACTGAAGTTTAGAGAGGTTAAGCTTTCCCAAAAGTCACAGAGTCATGGCTTAGTAAGCGGTAGAAGTCAGATTCAAATCCAAATCTGACTCTAAAACTAAAAGCCTTAACCATGACATTAACAATAACGATGCTCATAATTAAACATTTACAAACTCAGAACATTAGAAACAAAAATTTTCAGTACATTCTCTCTTCTTAAAGATAACTAGGGTAAGTAGTTTGGCATATTTCCTATCCTTATGAATTGCTTATTTGTTTCATGTGTTAAAATCATAGTTCTCTAGAATATGTTGTCTTCATGAAAATAGTTAAGAATGATAAATTGTAATCAATATTTTATAATCTTCAGCAAGTCATTTAGCCTTTCCTGTCTTCGAATTCTTACAGGGGTGGGGATTGGGAGCAGCTTTGCATTGATCTCTAGTATCTTTTCCAATAATTTTGTCTCTACATCCATGTGAAATCATTCCTATTTTAATTTCTGCTGATTTCTTCTTTTTTTCTCTCTTCCAGACATGAAAGCCATTTGCAGCAAGGCTTAAACAAACCAACATTTAAAATAAGATATGCGAGTAAGGCCATTTCTAAAATAAGACACAAAACCAGGTGAAAGGCCAGTCTTGCTGTGAGAAGAGACCAGCAGAAAACACTCAGCACTAAAAACCATTCTTGTGCCAAATTATGGAGAGAAGAAAGCTATATAAGGAAAGTCCATGAGCATGGAGTTGATGTTTAAGATAACAAAAGTACATTCAATACACATCAATCAAGACAGCTACAAAAATGGCTTTTTGGAAAATAAAAAGTAAAATTACCAAAAAAGGTTCTATAAAGGTCACTTTCTTCCTTGTGTGGAGTTTTATGAAGCCCTCGAGTTGGCACGCGGATTAATGTAAAATGGTCACTAATTGGCTGGCCATTTCTTCTTTCTGGCCCTGAAATTTAAGAGCTAATCATCATATTTTGAAAAAAATACAGGAATTGTTCTTTAGTTGGGGAAGAATTTACTCAGCATAAGATTAATCAGCAACTTTCCCTACACCTCCCCCTCCCCACCAACCATCCCCAACCTCCCTCCGTATCACTTCTCTACTGTTAGTTCAATAAAAGTTCATTGAACTGAAGTGAACTGACAGAAAGCTTTAACTTGGCCTTTTTAAAATTTGAAAGTATTACAGGGGTACAAATGTTTTTAGTTACATGGATTGCCTTTGTAATGCTTGAGTCAAGGTTAAAAGTGTGCCCTTCACCCAGATAGTGTTCATTGTACCCGTTAGGTAGGTTTTTGCCTATCCCCTTCTCCCCCTTGCCCCCTGCTCGATTTCCATTGAGTTTTACTTCCTTCTATGCACGTGTCTGTTCATCATAAACTGGCTTTTAAAACAGTCTTTGCCAAGTGCTTTTCCCATCATTCTGAAAATGATCATCTATTTTACTGCTATTTTGTGTCCACTGGATTATCAATATTGACATATTTGTCCTTCACTATTTCTACACACCTAACAGAGTTGTCTGCAGGCACCTCCTTTTCAGCTTTCCTCTCTAGTCCTCTATCTTGCAATACACTTGGTGGAAGAGTATCAGAGA